GGGGGGGGGGGGAGAAAAAGAGGAAGACAGCTTCTTCAGCTTCTTCTGTTCATAAAAATAGTTTGTTCTTCAAGACTACAGTACTGAACTTCAAGACTACTGTACTGAAAGTCCATAATAAGCTCTGTGTACTGCTTAATTCCTGGTCTCTTTAGCAAGTGACTTCCATTTGTACTTGAGGTCAGTAATCCTAATTCAGCACAGAATTTTTCTATTCCACTGCCAGGAGGCCAGTCAGACATTTTGTTTTGCCCATACTTCCCTACCCCACTTCTGATAGTAGTGGGTTTGGACATGCTATCATGCTAGCATCATTAGCATGAAAGCTGTCATGCTTTCACTTATTTGGCTCTTAATCCAGCATTTTCACTGCTTTTTTCTAGGCTTGATCTGCCGACTGACCTTTCAGAAAATCTGAGCAAAAAGTTGAGAGGCTTCTGAAGCACAGAGAATTGGCAAAGGTGGCCATTCAAAAAATGCCCTTTCTTCAACAAAATTTGGGGCAATGCTATCAATGGAACTTGAAAAACTGAAATGTAGTACGGAAAACTCTTACTGGAGAAAAATTCTATGATGTTTTGGTCAGCAAATACTTGGAAGTGGATAAAGATCCTAGAGAACTTAAATGAGAAAGTAGTGTCCTCTACTTAGAGAAACCACCCCAGAACAGTTTTAAAAGGTAAAACCATTTTGTGAAGCAATTCAGAGGCTCCTTCTTCACTCCAGCTGAACATTTTGTGATGCTAAGTAAAAGTTATTAGTAGATGAGGAAATAAGACATCTAAAATTTTCAGTTAATATTTCATGATCTTGAAGTGCCACAGCTCTCAGATGTATGCACATTGATTACATCATCAGAATGTTACAATTACATTAAACAATTGTATAAGTTTGTACTCTACTTTTCACACACAGTGAAAAGGAACTCCCCTCCCAGGAGAACTGCCAGCTCTTGAGGTACAATGGATGAAAACAAAACAAGAATGATGCAAAGAAATGGATTTGAAGACCAGTTGGAAAGGAGATGTTAGTGAGCCATGAATAGGCAGAGGACTAAGGGAGGTGCCATAAGCAGATGAGTACAGGCCTGAGGGCCTGTGGAGAAATGAAAGGGGAGATGTAGGCAAGATAAGGTTATGTAGGGCTTTAATGTGAAGATATTAATTGGGAATTCATCAAGATATACAGCAAAGTGAACGTTATCCCCATTTCAGGCGTTGCCGGAGAAAGCTGGGAGAAGCTAGGCGAAGAGAGAAAGAGAAAGTTAAGGTGGCTAAGCCTGGAAGCTGATGTATTCATCTAGTTGTCATGTAGTCAGTGAGCTTATCAGTCACTTGACTCCCTAGGCAAATAGGCTGTAGGTACTTCAGCAACAGCAAAATAATATATGGCCTTTTTATGGTTCTATGCAGCCAAAGCTAGAGACTGACAGGAACTTTCAACCAGATGGCAGAGTTACAGAATAAAAAGAGTGAATTAAAAATAGCCCTGTAAGGCCCCTACATCCAAGGCAAGAGCCCCTGGAAAGAAACTGAAATAAAGTGTTCAGTATAAATGAGTCTGGCCCTAACCCCTCTGTGATGAAAAAGATTTTTAATCAGCACATACAAAAAGAAATATATTCTAGATTTCTATCCATTCTTTCAAAACCAAACTGTAAATTGTCATAAAAGCATTATTGAACCAATTCTTAAAAAAAAAAAAAAAAAAAAAAAAGCTATAGTAGGATTACATACTAAAGAGAAGGAAAGAAAATGCTTTATTGCTGGAATCCCAAATGTAAACAATGTCAGTGGAGAAGTTACTCGATTGCTACAGCATCATTAAGGTCATCAGAAAAGCACTTGCAACAGTGACCAGAACCAATGAGAGCTGGGGCAGCCACCCTCCCTGTGGCCTCTTAGTAAATCTGTGCTTCTCACTTAGGGCCAATTCAGTAACATCATCATGTTTGTGACATTGCAAAAAAGTAGATCATGGTTCCAAACGCCTACCTAAGATTCACATTTTGCTGCCTTTAAGCAAATTTAAATAGCTTGGTATGTTCAGTCTTTCCATTTACTTTCAATTTTGATTTGAAAAGTACCAAAAATCAGTGAAAAATCAAGTAGCAATAATCTTTAGATTATCTTAGCATTTTTCTTACTTAAACTTGACTGTTATTTCTCTCTTTAATGTAAAATCACTGCCTACCGATGCAATGGCTTAAGCAGTTCCTGAGGTATTGTATCAGACTTCCTGAAAATACACTGGCTTGGAGGTTTTGTAATCCAAGAGTCTCGATCAGAACTATTTCCTAGCTGAGAAAACAGAAGAAGCTGTCAAACTTTGACTAGATACATATAATAATTACAGTGTTTAAAACTTTAAAGTTGGGTTTGCAAAAAATACACATGTTTTTCCACTATTTTTACTTCCTTTTATCTTTATAGGAGAAGCCCAAACCTCCTTACAGGCCAACTGAGTTCTGTATAACTCATACTTTTCTGTGTTTGCATCACTGTTAATATGCAAACTGCCCTTTTCGCACCCCATCCTCCCATAGTATGAACAAGCTTGATAGACTGGAACAAGCTGAAGTTCCACTGAAGATCATCTAATCATAGAAAGCTGTTGTCTGGAAGGGTCCTCAAGAGGTATCTAGTCCAACCTGCTCAAAGGAGGGCCAGCTGCAAGGTTAGGCCAGATTGTTCGGGATTGTTCAGGACTGAGATCCCACAACCTGTCTGGATGGCCTCACCTGGTGCTTAGCTACTTTTGTGACAATATTTTTTTCCTATACAGACAGAATTTCCATTGTTGAAACTTGTGACTTTTACTTCTTTCCATTTTCCTGTGTACCTCTAGCTCTGTCCTGTCTGTAACTCTGTTTGGACTGTGGAAGACAGCAGTTCACCCCACACCCCCATAGCCTTCTCTTTCCCAGGCTATGAAAGCCCTCTTCGCTCAGTATCTCTCTCACATTTATCATGTGCTCCGATCCCCTAACGACTTTTGTGACCCTTCATTGGTCTTGCTACAGTTTGTTGATCTTTCTCTTGTACTGAGGGTCCCAAAACTGGACACAGTATGTGTTTTCACATATGCTGCTCAGAGGGAAATACTGACTTGCCTTTGATTGCTGGGTATGCTCTTTCTAATACAGCCCCCTATGTGGTTGGCCTTTGCTGCTACACGGGTGCACTGCTGCCTCACGTACGACGAGTTGTCCACCAGCACTCTCAGGTCCTTCTCTGCAAAAGTGCTGCCTACTCAATCAGTCCTCACCTGCACTGATGTGTAGGGTTATTTCTCCCGAGGTGCAGGGCTTTGTATTTCCCTATGTTAAATTCTATGAAGTTTCTGGTGGCCTTCTGTTTGTCAAGATCCCTCCGAGTAGCAGCCTTGCTACTGTAATGATCACTTTGCCAATTTGGTGTCACGCATCAACCTGTTGAGGTGCTGAGGGTGCATTCTGCCCCACTGCCCAACTAATGAAGATGTACTGGACTTGATATTAATCTCTGGGGATCCCTGCCATTACTGACCTGTTGCCGATTAGACTTTAGCCAACAGACAACTTCTTTCAGTGTGATGGTAACAGCCAGTATTTTACTCATCTTATTGTCCACTCATCTGGTTCACACCTCCCCACTTTGGCTACTAGGATCCCACGGGAAACCTTGTCAAAGGCCTTCTTAAAGTCAAGATAAATAATATCTACTGCTCTCCCTTATTCATAGAGCTAGTAATTTCATCATAGAAGGCAATCAGGTTCATCAAGCACAGTATGGCCTTGCTAAATCTATGATGACTGTTCCCAGTCACCTTCTTATTCTTCGCGTACCTTGGAATTGCCTCCAGGAGGTCTAGCTCCATAATCCTTTCAGGGACAGAGGTAAGATGATACTACCTCAGATCATGAGCGTGGTGAAGCACTGGAACAGGTTGCCCAGAGAGGTGGTGGAAGCCCCATCCCTGGAGGCATTCAAGGTCAGGCTGGATGGGGCTCTGAGCAACCTTATCTAGTTGGAGATGTCCCTGCTTACCTCAGGGGGATTGGACTAGATGACCTCTAAAGGTCCCTTCCAGCCCAAATGATTCTATGATCGTGCTTACGTTTTTGCAGATGGGCATAAAATTTGTGTATTTCTTGTCACTGAGAAGCTTTCCTGATCACCACAGTCTTCTAAAGATGATAGACATCTGCTCTGCAGTGATGTCATCCAAATCCCTCAATAGACTTGGACATGCCCTGTCCAGTCCCATGTATTTCTTTATGTCCAGATTATTAAGGATTCCCTAACTTGTTCCTTCACTACTGTTTTGTACCACTCTCCTCCAAACTCTCTACTGAGCTTGAAGACATGCCAGAGAGCAGACCTTGTCAGAAAAGTCTGACGCAAAGTAGATCTCGAGTGCCTCAGACTTTTCCATGTCTTTTGACACTAGATCTCAACTCTATTTAGCAGTGGACAGCATTTTCCTTGGTTTCCTTTTGCTGATGACATACTAACAGAAGTCCTCCTTGCTGCCCTTCTCACCTCTTGTGAGTTTCAGCTCTGACCATCCTAATGCCACCCCTCCAAGCTCAGGGGATGCTTCTGTATTCTTCCTGGGTTGCCCATCCCTCCTTCCACACTTCCTTTTTGCATTTGAGCTCGGTCAAGAATTCCCTGATTCAGGCAAACTGGCCTCCAGGACTTACTCATTCTCTTGCACATTGAGGTAGACTGCCCTTGTGTTTTGAAAACATCTTTCTTGGGCTCCTTTGTCCTTCAGATCAGCTTCCTGTGGGTTTCTGCCTATCCATTCCCCGAACAACCCAACATCTCCCCTTCTGAAGCCCTGAAGTACTCCTTCCTCACTTACCTCAAGACTTTAAAACAATGCTGGTGCTACATGTAGAATTTGTTTTATTATTTTCAATAAATAATATATTTTCTAAAAAATAAAGCATATTATATTTGCTATTACTTTTCTAACGACGATTCTTTTAAGAACTCCAAAGTTAACAAAAAGAAAAAAATAGTAACAGGCATCAGAACAAATAAGTTTCAACCATTTCTTAAACTTAACTTGAATTAAACAGCAGGCTTTTCTCAATCCTTTTAGGACCACTGAGAATACTCTAAGAACTATGTTACTCACTGAGACACTGCATGATTACAAATTAGGTCACAGTCATCACCTGGTATCATATGATACCCAGTTATACTAATTGTACATTTAAGGCGGCTATATTTATAACTGTAATGTGTTCCAGCTTTCTTTAACCAATTTCACAAGCCAGAAACAAAAGAAAGCCAGTGGTATGTGACTGACTGTTTCTGCAGATAGTAGCAATACTGAGAGCTCAGTGAACGAAAGCTAAAGTTAAGCATATTTCATAACAATAAAAGAAATATATTTGTATATGTGGAATATTCATTGCCACCAGCCTACAAGAAATGTTCATCATTCATATTTATCTTCACCATTACACTAATTCTACACTCGAAATAAATGAAAGTTAGTTTAAAATAATTCTGCAGAAATGACAAAATAATAATCAAACCTGGTTTTGCAGCTTCTCTTCATAGGTCTGTTCCCAAGTGTTGCTCATTGGATTTGTGTTGAAATTTTCTTCTGGAAGTTGTGTACAGTTAGAGGACCAAAAAACAGAAGAGGACAATGGACAGGCACTAAAAGCTCTTGCTATGTTGTCTTCATGTTCCATACTAGAGTCAGCATATGTTAATTCTGTTACTTGTGATAACTAGACAAAACACAGCAAAGAGAAATTTTAGTTATCTGAAACTGTTTCGACGTAAGCATAAAGTTCAAAGTAATCAAACCTTTCTATATCTTTTACATCTCTGCATATATACTACATGTAAGAGAAAATTTTCATATATTATGATATGACGTTTTCATCAAAAACATAAGGTAATAAGGGCTTATTTCAGGGAAACACATAAGCACCTACTTAAGTTGAACCATGCACACAAATGTTATCCTGAGGAGAGATGGGTATAAGCACATTTTTAGCTTTAGATGTGTAGGTTAATGATCTGCGGACTTGGTTGTTAAGTACTAAAATGAAAAATAGTCACTCCATTGAGGAGAGACCTCCAGCATGTTGTGATACCAACAATGCTATCTATCTCAAACAGATCAGAACACAACGAGAAATGTGAAGGCAAAACTCATGAAATGTCACTGTATCCACAGCTACATGGAAGTAATGCCTGTAATTCAGCTTATCCAGTGAAAGCAGCACAAACTACTAATGAAGTGCAAAAGCCTTGTACATTAATTGCACAAAATCTTGGTACCACAATACTGTAAGTTTCCAGAAAGCCAAAAATTATGAATTTTATAGCCCTCTTTCTGTTTAATAAAATGGATATATCTTAATGACTTACATTGGATATACTTTAACTTACGAAGGTTTTAAAAACAGTTCTTTGCAACGTACAGGCCTTAGCCTTCATTTTTTGATCCATACATTAAATTAGCTTTCCCTGTGTGCACACTGCGTTATCATGTGTTTTGATGAACTGATGTAAATCCGTCCATACAAGTGGAGGTTGAGGAGAAACTTAGCTATCATTTTGAACCATTATTTCTGGCCACACTAAATCTGAAATATGTCCTCTCTGTCTTCAAGCAATGGATGAAAAAGAGTCATAAGGGAAGGCTGACTTAGTGTGATATCCAAAAAAGTAGTGGCAGCTCATGGTAATTTTGGCTGAAACATATTAGACAGCTAAACTTCTCACCCATACTAAGTAATTCTTCCTAACTCAAAAGAAAGGAACTTCTAACACTAGAAAAACTGTCTTTCTCACTCTAGGAAAACACGCTTTGGCAACATGAATGGGCCAAGAACATACAGAACAATACTGTGCAAGCATCTTCTGCAAGCATCTTTTCCTCAGAGTCCTATCTGATATGAACAGCAGGAGTCAGTGGAGCTATATTATCAAGCAAGTCTAAGTAACCTAAAGTAGGTGTCCTCTAACACATTTACTAACTTGGAGTTGGGGGGTTTTTTTTGTTTGTTTAGTTGGGTTTTTCTATGCAACAGTGGAATGGGTCATAAGAAAAAGCCTAAATTCCATCTAGAGAATGTTTTTCACCGTAACCTCAATGAGCGTATGAACTTCCCAATTGTACCCTTGTATACTGAGACTTGTACTTAAGTTCCTCTTAAAGACTCACTTCTGTCTATGCTTCTCACATTTCATCATTTCACATCTCTCCATATTGTTTTTAATTTACCTGCTGTTGGCCTCAGTCTCTTTCCCATAGTCTCTGTCCTTTGTGACTAGCTTAGAGCACAGATATTCTTAAGTATTTTCCAAAATGTCTGAAACAAGGTGAGCCTTTCAAGAAATATGTAAGAAATAGCAGGAACAAATACAAAATATGACTGGCAAATAACATATCAATACAGCCTTAAAGAGGAAGACTTCACACATTTCAGTATCCACGAGATTGGGTCGCTCTTTGAAAAAACACTTAAAAATAGAGTCATTGCTGCACATTTTTAGCTTTATATCAGTGAGAACAATAAACTTACACTATGCTGGCATTTTACTTTCTCTGAGAGATGCTGCCTTCTGCTGTCCAATACTTGCTTTTGTAACCTTGTAAAATGAATAAAAACAGCCTATGAAATACAGGATATAAGATCTATAAGATTAAAAATATACTGAGTATTAATTTCAAAATAATTTAAGAATGTTTTTCCAAAAAGACCTGATTCTTAAGCAGCTTTGAGCAGACAGTGTGTCAGTCAATTTAAGGTGTCTGAAGTTGGACAGGAAAACAGTGTAAGTGGAAAATGCTGTTTGAATAGCCTGCTCTGTGAGATAAACTTAGTGTATGTACCTGACATAAGTAAAGAAATGTTATTTTTTTAAAAATCTCTCGGCTTTATGTACAGTTTTTTACTTAGAGTACAATTATTTACTCTCTTATAGGAGGAGTATCACTGGAATGACAGGAGTGATTGTGAAACTTCTTCATTTTAGAATGGTATATTTATGTTTACTTAATATCCCAAATATAAGACCATCATGAAATACCTTTTCCAGAACTTCATTATAGCTTAACTACGGCCTATTTTATACAAGTACCTGTTCTGGATGTCATCTAAATTTGATGTACGTTGTGTACGTAGTGGTGACATGGGAAGCTCTATGTTGTGCCTCCTAACAGGTATTTTTACATCTTCAGTGATATCAACGTGGACTGGCTTCCTCATCTTCTCTGCAATGAAAGTATTTGGAACGTCTGTGCTGGGCTTGGAGAAAGTTTTGAGCTTCCTGAATTTCCATTAGAGTACAAAAGCTGTTGGTTTGGGTTTCTTAATCTGTTTGCGGCCATATTTTTTGCTTTCTTTGTTACTAGCAATGCAAGAACTCTAAATGGCATTATAGTATAAAATTATTTACGGTCAGCTGCTGTGTGTGGACAGGCTTTGTTGCCCTCCTCAGTCACTTTCTAATCCTCCTGAGCATAGGGCAACAAATTCTCCACAATTCAGTTTATGAATATGTCACAGAGGATAGGAATCATAGAATCATTTATGTTGGAAAAGACCTTTAAGGTCATTGAGTCCAACCGTTAACCTAATGCTGCCAAGTCCACTGTTAAACCATGTCCCTAAGCACCACATCTACATGTAGATGTGTCCTAACTTGAGTTGGGACTCAAGTTGTAGAGATATTTTTTTAGGAGCTTAATGATGGATTTTAAGAAAGATACTCTAGGTAGAACTGAAAAACTATTCCAAATGCCCCCGAAAATTTACAAAAAAGGAAGTGGAATACAAATGGATCTATTCAATGGCAAAGGGAAAAGGAAATGGATGTAGGGTAAAATTAATGAATGGAATGAGGAAGGTACATAAGTGCACAAGGTTTTAATGGTGAAGTAGGCAGTAGCTAAAGTTATTTGATTCCTCTTATGACCTGACTTTCTATTAAATCGTAATTTTTTGTATTTACTTACAATTTTTTATTTTAAAAATAAAACAATGCTTATTTGAGCATTAAGTTATAAGTTGAAGAACAAGAACTAAAATAATAGCAGTAATAGTTAAGGATAACTGATTCTGTTAACTGTGAAGTCAGAATACTGTTGCATTAAACTCACCAGTGTTGTCTTTTTTGGTTGATATCTGGTTAACAACATATAGATTGAGGAGATCTAAACTGACTGCTGAGCTTTTAGGAGATGATACTCCCAGAAGCTTCATCTTTGATTTAAGTTTCTTCTTTTCAAAGAATTCCTAAATTTTTTAAAAGAGAGAATAAGTTTTTAACAGAAGCTTCAACAACACGTTAGCAGCATATATAATTCTTTTGAAATTAGCATGCAAGACTTAGTAAACAATTCCTAATAATAAAAGCACACAATTAAATGTCTCTGACTTTTCACATCCTGTCTACTGTTATTTAGTTTATTTTTATTGCCATGAAAAAGACTGCAAGTATAATTTGGTCATATTCAAAATAAATCACTGTTCTCTTGATGCCAAAAACTTAGTCCTTTAACACTCATGCCTCAAATTTTGTGTATGATTATTAGAAATATTTCTTTAAAATAAAAGACATACCAAAATGATCCAAGGAAAAAGTCCTAAAAATTTTAAACGTGGGCTTTTTAGGCAGCTTATAAGCTAGTAGGCAAATAAATCAGCAAGATGACTTACACACAGCCATCTATAATGACACAAAGAGTTTATTGTTCTCAAAATTTGTCTTTCTTGACATAGAAAATAGTCTTGTGACAGAAAAAAAGAGAAAAAAGTAAAGAAGAAAAATCTCTAAGACTGGGACTTCAGAAAGGCTTTTTGTTGTAAGGAATAAAAAGAGATATGACTGACACTTTGAACATATTAAGCAGATAATCCTGGAAAATTTAGGAAACAAAAATCTCCATTTTGTAGGAGACTATTAATAACCATCCTAAAATCATTAGCATCAAGCACAACAGATGAATAAAGAAAACCAGTAAGATTTCTTTATTTTAACCACAAGAAGGATATTGAAAACAGAAGGCTACACCAAAACACAAAATAGCATTTGCTTTTCTTCCAAAATGCGATTCCTCTCATGACTGCAAGTTCTGTGTAACTAATATACCCAAAACATTTGTTGGTAACTATTTTCCAGTATAATTTATTATAGCACAATCCTTAGATTTCTAGGATGTAACCATCTATGGAATATACCTGTTCTGTAGTTAAGAAGATCTGCAGTAAGGTAAAATCAGCCTGTGTACAAATCAACACTTCAAAGTTCACATTGCTTTGGAGTCCACATCCCCAAAATGTATCCAAGTCCTTTCAGTGTCCCAGATATTTCCTTCCCATCACCTCTAAATTACTACATGACTGTTAATTGTGTAATAGCAATTACGAAATTACCACTATGTTTAGTAATTTAGTACTAAATTACTAAAACCAAACCTGTCTTGGATCCTTTCCTATTTTCTCTCCTCCACTGAAGCAAATTACGTAGTTGTAATGTAAATTATGTGGCTTAGACTAATAAGTCCCTGAGAAAACAGGTATTTTGAGAACTCACAGGCCTCCAGGAGACTGGGAAAGCGATAGCGACAACAAGCTGCTGGTTGCTCCCACCTTCCCTTAGGTTAAGGTTTTCATTTCAGACACTGTCTCTATACTGTCAGCTTGGTTTTCCTCCTCCTGTATATGCCAATGCATCTGCTCTGGGCATTGAGGATTATCAGTTCAGTGGTGGAGCTTCCCTATACTGTCTCTTTTTTCCCTGCTGCTGAGGAGGAAACTGACCTCTCTTACTATGGGTATAACTATTTTCTTTTACCATTTTCATTCTCTTTCCTGTTTGAAATGTCTTCTGCTACGCCAGGGATAAATTTGATTCTATTATTTTACTTTCAGATTCAAAATACAAATATTTTTAGCCCACTTTTGCAAATGCCAGACTAAAGTACTTCAATGAGCCTAACATCCTTCTATGTAGCCCAGAAAAATAGCTGTGTATATGTGTGTTAGGCTAGCTGACCACGTGGTTGTCACTGAGGCTTCAAGCAATCCCGTGTGTCAGCACATACCAACAAAATATAGTAACAGAAGTAATTCAGTAAGACTTAAACTGGGTGCATTCATTCATTCATTCCTTCTCCTACTCCGTCCTCTTCCTGCTGGAATTCAGTGTAGTAAGCCTAGGACAAGACTTCTGCCCTAGAAGTTACATGCAGTCAGGCAAACACATTACAACTGTTATGCTACAGTTTTGAGTCTGACTCCAAATGCTTTGAAAGTTTTTCCTAAGTGAATCAGCTAAAGCATTTATATAACAACATAAAACCCCAGATGGCTAGAACTGTTTACCTTTTGCTTTCTCCTTTCCTGCTTTAATATGATCCTGCTCCTGAAAGATGCAAGTAATTATTGTTTTAATTGTAAAAGTATAACGCTGAGTCATTGCTTGAATTTCTCATCAATGGTATCAAGAATTTAGGACACAAATATGCTATGCTATGTTATGCTATATCAAACTCTCAGGTAGTAAAGTCAAAATATCTCTGTTGACGTCACTTTGACTGATCCTGGTTTATTCAGGTAAGAATAGGATCACATTCTATCATAGGGCTACCAAACACATTGAACATTCAGAAGGAAAAGCTTTTAGACATTTGACTTGTAATGCAACATTTTATCAATTCTTAATTTCTTAAAACATTGTAAGAAATCTTTGTCAATATATTAATTCCCCCTAATTTTCTTTGTCATGCTGCAACACAGTTAAAAAACCATATTAGCAAAGAAAACGAAGGGGCACAGTACAAGCTTCTACCTTTTGGGACTTCATAGAATAGTATGAACATTTTGTAAAAAAGTAAAGAAAAATAGATTGTCACTACAAGTTTTATTGAGCTGATGCTGTTTGTGAAATATAGGAGACAGTTGTACCTTAAACTACGTATCTCACTTGTTAAACAGCCTTAAATAAATTGCCTACAGGACAGCATGCATAAAATTGGAGCTCTGAGTCACTGCTGTAAGCAGGGTGAGCATGGCTGCAATCCTTGGGTCAGTATGATTAGGAAACTTTTTTGAGAGTTAGAAATATGGAGTATCCCCTTGGAATTACTTTTTTTTTTTTCCTCTTTTTTTTTCTTGACTGTGCTTGAAGTTAGAACACACTTTCTAAACACAAGCACATAACATTTACCCTTGCAGTGGGTAGAAGCCCCAGTAATGGGTAGTTTATCTCGCACCTAAAATGCAAATCCCCAACTCACCCTGGAATCCTGACAGATAATTAACAGCAGCAGAAAGCAGCAGGATGATTTGCTGTTTGCTAAGTGACTGCAACAGTCCTACACACTGCTTTTTCTTACAGACAGAATAGTATGGTAGGCATTTAGGACAAAGTTGGGGTGTTTTGTTTTGCCTTTTCAAACCGAAGCTGCCCCTTCCCCCTGTTTCACATAGGCAACTTTCAGAAACCTCATTTTGCTGGGAAGACCTCCAGATAGGTAAGGCATTCTTTAGGTTTGACTCTGCATAGAGCCAGGATGACTAAAAAGCTGTGTTTAGCAAAGCTGCTTTCAAATGGCTGACAAAATCTGTGGGGTTTATATTTCTAGTAGATAGGCAGATGGCACAGCACCTACAGAAACTGAGTATTATCCTTTTTTTTAATGTTACAACTCGGTGATTGTTTTAATATTTCAGTGACTCTCAATAACTATACATCCTTTCCCCCAAATGGTAATCGCTGCCATTCATGAGGGCGTGAGGAAAGGCCCAGGCGGGAGAGCCTCACCCAGCCCCACTCTGTGGAGACATACCAGGCCCAAAGGTGCTCCACCCTGCCTGGTGGGGGAGGACATCTGTGTCTCTTCACACAGCCTGGTTTAGGAGGGGACACTGGGGCTGTCACACCCTCCACAGCTCTGCCTGGTCTGTGAGGGGACATCAGGGCTATCATACACACCATGGCTGTGCCTGGTCTGTGAGGGGACATCAGGGCTATCACACACACCATGGCTGTGCCTGGTCTGTGAGGGAACATCAGGGCTATCACACACACCATGGCTGTGCCTGGTCTGTGAGGGAACATCAGGGCTATCACACACACCATGGCTGTGTCTGGTCTGCGAGGGGACATCAGGGCTGTCATACACACTATGGCTGTGCCTGGTCTGTGAGGGAACATCAGGGCTATCACACACACCATGGCTGTGCCTGGTCTGCGAGGGGACACTGGCTCAACATGGCGCCACTTCTGGCAGGCTTTGAAGAGTTTTACTCACCGGCTGCCGCCGACCCAGTTCATTTTCTCCTGCTGAGGAAGCAGGGAAGGCTGCCGCGTGTGGTGCTGGGAATGGAAAGGGAAGGCAACGGCCACCACAGGGATGGTTTGCAGCCTCCCGGCAGGGCCTCCTCCTCCCTGGGAGTGCCAGGGCAGCTGCTCTCCATGCCCCAGGCTGCCCAGTGCTGGCAGAGAAGAGGGAGGGGGTGGTCCGGGGACAGGCAGCAAAAGGAGAGGGATGCCGAAAGACGAGCAGGGCAGGCTGATGGGGAGGACGCTACGCTCTGGTTGCTGCCTCTACCACCAGCATTTCCATACAGGCTGCTGCCAGAAGCCCTGCTGCCAGAAGCCATTGCTGTTTTGCAAGGGAATCACAAGCCTCTTGCTGTCCCAAGTGAATCAAATTCACAGTTATTGGAGTGGATTACACAGCTGTTGATGTTTTGTCTTTCAGGCCTAGCATGTCACTGCTACAATCACTGTAATTTCTGGGGCAAGAAAGAAGCACCTTTCTCCCCATCCTACTCTTCCTCAGGTATTTTAGGGGCAAGAGAGGAATTAATGAGCATTTTCTACTAGTAGGCGTCGTCGCCCTTGGAGCTGCCTGATGAGCTTTTGTGTGTAAATAGCATCAAGCCCTGGAGGAGGGATGCAGAGCTGCGGGTTCTCCCTGTGCTCCCCAGGCATCTCAGCAGCAATGCAGTTCCCCTTGCTCCCTTCCCTGTGACTTGCTGCCATCATTTCAGCAACTGAAGGCACACACAAAACTATCATTAAAATTCTGTATGAATCTTTTCCTGTGGTGTTTCTTTGCTGGGTTATCTTTAGCCTAATATTTTTCAGGGTACTAACGTTCGATTGCTATTAGAACAACAATGTGAAGAGTGCTCAGAGCAGATATTAGGAGCCTAATATTAAAAATGACCCAAGTTTTTTCCTTTCTAATACTTTTAATTTTGCTACAGTGTTTATAGAATCCTCAGCTAAGATTATAAAAGTGAAAAGACCTGCTTCTCTAAAATATCACAAATTAAACTGAATAAACTTCTTGGACAGAATGGTTTATTGTTGAGCTATCCCTAGTATTTCTGATTAGTATGCATAATTGTTTCTTGTAACAACACTAGATTAAAATCTTCATTGTAAAATATATCTATATTTTAAATGTGTGTGCCTCTACAGGTAATATGACCCGACAGACTGAAAGATTATTTAACTAATTTCATCACTTGAAATAATCCTTTTTATTGTGTTTGCATTTTCATCTAGTGTAAATGTTTAACTTGTTGATACTATGTCTAAGAGGTAGTTTCAGGCATGACATAATCAAATCCCTTTTACTTTTGTTTTTCTAACATACGATGTTTTCTGTACCACCCTTACTTTTACTCTTCCACAGCGTTATCTGGATTTAAAGGAAAAGACTGCACTTTTGTTTATATCTGATTTATTGAATCTGGTAGTTAGCAGTAGTTCATTGAAACTGTGGAAAAGTGACCAGAAAAAGCTTCAATTAATTACTTTTCAACATAAGAAATCTTCCCCTCCTCAAATTAGTTTCTGCAGATAAAGCTCAAACACCTTTCAAACAGTCATAAAGAATCATTTCTTTCTTCAATGAAGGCAAAGTAAACAGTGAAATAAGATCTGAGATGCATATGACTCTAGACTTCCATTGTCTAAATATTGCACCTTGACTGTCAACATTTGAAAATTTTGAAATAATTTATTTGAATTTCTGAATGATGTCATACTTCCAAAGAATTGCAGGACATTATTATTAGTTTTTAAAAGGTCATGAGAATGAGTTTCATGGAGCTTAGTTGCTTCTATGGGAAGTGAAGTAAGTATAGAACAAGGAAACCTCCTCCATGTGTCAGAAACTGAAGTTTAAAGAAGGAAAAAGTCTTGAAGATTTCCCTTTTTTGTAACTTTTCAATAGCCACTCTTCAGAATAACTATAGCTCATGTTCCTTTGTTAAGAACATATTATACTAGATCTTCCTCAGTCTAACCTTCAGCACTTGGGTTTTCCCCTCCAACAGGCTGCTTCATTATCAGATCAGGTCTAGATGTAAGTGACATAGCAAAGCAGTCCAAAGCAGTGTGCTATCTGATGTAAGATCGCATTTCTCCAGGAAGGTTGGTGTTGAAACATTGACTGTGTAACTTTTGGCAGCCAGATTTGAGTAGGTCCTCACAGAACGCATATATAATCAAATAAGGGAGAGGGAGGTGACCCAGAGCACCTAAGTTAGGCTCCTACGCTCTGTCCCAACACCCAGAGAGGAAGCAGCTGAGTTAGGTCACTGAAACTGCATGAAGTGAAAGCGTGTGCCACTGTCTGCAGCACTATAGTACTCTGAACATTTGAACACGCTTCTTCCCCTAAGCAAGATAGTCTTTCCCTTGAGTGAACAGACACTCCTCATGTAAAATCTTATACTCATTGGAGACAGTGAGAGAGGAAGAGAGAGAAGATGTGTTTCCAAGTAACTTCTTAGAACTAACTGCAGATGGTTCTCATGCTTCTTAATGAATCTTCTGCTTCCCAGCAAGTGTCCTCCTCTAATGCTCATTATAACAAAGCAATGGATTACTAAACAGATGAATGCATAGTAAAAAAACCTGTGGGGATTCTCACAGTTGGGTTTAAATATTTTACAATATTACCAAATTTTTTTGGTGTTAATTTAACATATTTTAATATTGATTTTTGCCCAAAATATTTGATCTTGATATCTAGCATTAGGTAACTAAATCCATCTGTAGATAACTATATAAAAGATGCAGAGTAACTGAAATGCTTTTGAATCCTCTATCTGGAGTGGGAATTTCTGGTACTTTTAAATGCCAGGATACACTTATTTAGATGCCTAAATATTGACCTAATTATCTAATGCTAGGAAGGCTTTACTGAAAAAAGCTGAGACTGCTTCAAATGAAAGACTTTGTTTGGCAACCCAGTGCTTAAACTTTGTTTACAAAGTTGCATGGTCTTCTCCCAGGCAATGCTCCTTTGCTCATTCCCTTCCTTGAGAGACCAGCTTATGAAGAAATAAAGTAATACTATCCATGTGGTATTTTATACTAACCTAGTTGGTGGTTCTGCCTTAAAAGAGTGCTTTTTAAAAGATGGTTGTGATATTGCAAAGTCATAATAGAGTCTGAGAAAGTTTAAAACAGAAGACAAAGCTTGTTTTAAAAACAAAGTTTCCCCTTTAAAAAGTAGTTCCTCTTGAAAGACTCTCAGTTAATTTGAAGAAAAGTCCTTCCCCCATTCACCTTTAAAGGGCAGAGGCCTTTTTTGATTTACGCTAAGGGCATTAGTTCAAAGAATACTAGAAATTGCAGAAAGCCCGAGGCTTTTTATATTTCACCACAAAACACTAATCAGCCAAACATCTAAAGAAAAAACATGGTGGGCTTCCTTATGTTTGTGTACAAGGTATCAGCATTAGATTAGAAAAATGACAGTAAATTGCAGTATGAGATGAGTAGCATTCACTTGGTATGAAACCCCAGTTTAAATACCTCCAACATATGTTGAAATCAATGACAATGACAATGTATTCAATAGAAGATGAGTTTTGCCCCTGCTGTGTTGGAAACAGTGCGGTAAGAGACCACCTTTTGTGGTTGTTTCTCCTGATATGTGCTCCTTGCTGAGCTGGATTCATTACATTAGGTTTGAAGGAGTTAGGAGCAATCAAAAAATGGAAAGGGATGATGCCACTAGTTCAAAGACTAGATAGCAGAGAGGCTAAACAGTTTCCAAGCATAGTAAACCAGCCGCCTCAGAGAGAAGCACATGATGTACATGGATTAAAATTCAAAGCCCAGTTGGGAAGAACATGGGATTGGATCTACATGTCAAACCACCAGCCAGGACAGTACCATTGACAACAGCATACTGACACATTGCTATATGAAGCAGATGCAGGTGATATTATTTAGATGGCATTCTTTTTCACAGAATGAGCCCTCAAGATGAAGTGCAGAACATGGCTTGATGGAGAACAATGCACAAGCTCTGTTTCAGAATCTCATGCTGGAGTCCCCACTTTGTAAAACCAATATTTCTACAAAGAGAAACAAATACCAAAGAATCCTCTATAGTTGTGCTAAACTCCAGAAAGCGAACAATGTGAGGCTTCTTAAAAACAAATTAGGAGAGAGAGTTGAAAGAATTAAGTCCTTACATGTGGTTAGGAGAAAGCTGAAGGATACCAGACTTGAAGCAAAGAGACAGTCTGAACCACAGCAAAAAGCTATATTGCATTCAAAAGAAGATGGACTCAGAAAGGAACATGAACTTTGATAAACATAAAAATACAATCAGATAGGCCAAAAAGAATTTGGGAAACAACTAAGCAAAGGAACCAAACTACTAAATCATTCTCCTTACACATCATATCAGAGCAAAAGCCTGCTACAAAGTCTATAGAGCCAGTTGATGACCAAGGTACAACATGAGTGCTCAGAGGAGACATGGATGTTACAGAAGAGATAAGTTAGGTTTTATGCGTCAGTATTCATTGATGAGGAAACTGGGGAGAACTTTATGCAGGAATCCTTTCTGGGGAACTCAGCAGAGCATCTGTCTACAGTGAAAATAACAGCAGACGAGGTCAAAATGATCTTACCAAGACAATGAACACTAGCATAGCACCAAGACTAAATGGTATTCACTGAAGAGTTCTATAACGCAGCAGCATGGAAAGGACTACTTCAAACTTCCTTGGTTTTGGAGACTAGACGATAGCAAATGTGACACAACTGAAAAAAAAATCTGTGGCAATCCAGAAAGCCTACTTTTGCAGCACAAAAAAATAGCAAGAACTATAATATAGGCCAGCACATGAAGAGCCAGCATAGCTTCTGTAGATGGAAGTGCTGCCTCATAAGCATGCAGAAAAGAGTGATTGCTGTACTGTTAATGGATGTAATTAAGGCTGTTGACAACATCTGTTGCTGAAGGTTTTAAGGAAACTAAGAAGCTATAAAATAAAAGAGAAGGTCCT